CCAAGAGACAGTGCGAGTGAAATGATTAGAAAAAGTAATCCACGCAGTGATCAAAACGCGGACAAAAAATTTTTCCCACTCCTCGTCGCGTTAGTCAGAAAAAACGGAAGAGCGAAAAAAAAAAAAAAAGGTAATTGGAGGCCGAGCGCCGGAGACAGCCTTGGCCTATTATCAGGAAGCTCTTCTCGCTCCGTTATTTCGCGCGAACGGTGTAATGTCGCACCCGGCTTTTATTGTTCTCTAGCGTGCTCTTTTTTTCTCAATATTCGGATAACCACAGGATGGGCGCGGGAAATGAAAGGGGAGCACACGTACACGCGCAGCTGCAATTGCCGCACAACTGTTGAACGTAAACGGCGTAGTGACGCAAATTGCTTGACGAGCCGACTCTGCTGCTGCTCCGTGTGTGTGTCAGTTGCAGTGAAATTTCGCACGGATGCATCACTTTTTATATTTTCTTTTTTTTTTCTTTTTTTTTTTTTTTTTAATTTTAGTTTCGTGGTTTGAAAATTTTTCACTCCACTGTTCCCGACACGGTGGGCATTTGTCGAGTACTCTATAAACTTTAACGATCGGCGTTAAAGGCGAAGACTGTGTTGTGTGCCGTTGTACCGCGAGTGGAGCGAAATCGCTGGCCATTACCATTTAGAACGAAATCGAATTACGAAGATCGATGCGAACCATTACCGATTACGGTCGGTCAAAGGGCTCTTGCTCGGAAATTTATTCGAGTGTCGTTGTTTCCCCTGTACATGTACCCCCCTCTATGCAACGCTCGAACGTAAATAAGCGAATGGACTTGCCTCTTGTTTCGCAAGTGTATAAATATCGACCCTCTGGATTTAGCTCCGCGAGCCAAGCTTTTTTTTCTTCTTTTTTGTTGATTTACTCATTTTGTTTTATTTCATACGTTATTCACGTAGTTTTCTTTAAAACAAAGAGAGAGCCGTTTATTTGTTTGTTTTTTTTTTTCCAGCGAATCTGTAACAAATATTTCCAATCGGTAAATACGAGGGATTCAGCGTTCATGGTTTTTCATAACATCCATCTGCAAAGGGTTTTGTTTCACTCTTAAACAAACATCTGTTCCCTTCGATAAATACGACAAAGGACGCAGGAGAAAAGACAAAAAGAGAGCACCTGTATCGCAAAAAATTTGAAAAATACCATTACCTACACGTATTTGTTTTCTCTCTGTCTTTAAAAAAAAAAATGTCAATAAAATACGTAACAATTTTCGACCAACAATAGAAGATCCCGTTGATAATCGTCAGTGAAAATTTTTTCTCAGTTTAACTTTAAAATTCATAAAAAATTAATTCCGGCTCAATGTTTAAACGTGATTGTTTAAACAGTAGTTACTCAAAGGTTATTGTATTAATTAGACAATAACCGTAATGCTGTTGAGCTACTCGATGAAATTAAACGTGAAAAACTAAAATTATATATTTTATTTTTTTTTTAGCACCGAGACCATTCTATACTATAATGTAAAAAAAGGCTAATGGACTAGTTTGGCTCGCACAAATTTCGAATGGTCAAACGACGGGTGGAAAAAAAAAAAATGAAAAATCCCATCTCGCGCAGTTCAATCAAAAGTCCTCCTCGTACAGACAGTCCCGCAGCGTAATATAATCGGTCGAACGAGTTTAATTTAGCAGCCGGATTTTCTTTGCCTCGTCCTCTCTTTTTCCCCAGCCACCCCCCTGCTCTCCCCCGTATAATTATAATTCACGCGATCGAACTGGCGCGGATATTAAAGCGCGGCGCTCTCTTTCGAATCGTCATACGTACACGCTCCGGGCAAGGGGCTACCTCGCGCTTTTTGTACACGTACGCGTGTGCTCTGGCTTTCACTAGAGAAGAGAATCGGTGGGAAATATCTCGCTGCTCCCGCGCTACGCGGGGTAGAATGTGATGCGTTCAAAGGCATATTTGATCGATCTCTCGTACGTGGGTGTATTGGGTACGGCCTTGCTGTGTAAGCTTGCACGCGTGTATATATAGACCCCCAGGTTTGATTTCGAGACGATAAAAAGTTCATTTGAGGGATGCGCTGAACATTGGCTGTTGCCAAGCGTTAACATATCTTAACTGCATTTCGGTGGGTTGGATGCTTTTTCAAATACAAAATCAATACTTATACACGAGATCTTATACTTCGTGTCTTCAACGCCCACACATCATAATATTTGGTTTTTGCGATGTCAATGTTGTTTGCCACCCTGAATGCTGTGGAATTTTTCAACCCCGCGATTAAAACATTAGCGTTTACTCTCGACCAATTTGCCGTGAGCGAATGGCGGGATTTTTCATCATCGCAGTAAAAGTGGGGCTACAAAAGCTCGTAGGTATATATATGGTACAGAGGTGAGTTAGAGCGAGGGAAAATTGGGCAATCCAGTAGGAAGTTGGTCATGCCGAATCCCAACGAGGGACACGCACGTATTTGGAGCGGACAACAGCGGAGGAAAAAAAAAAGCCAAATAGCCAGCGCCGAAGCTCGCAGCTCTTGAATTTCCGATTCGCCCCGAGGAGACGGTGCAAATTGAATTTTTTCTCTCACCGAACGCGACACTTGCCCTCCACACCACGCGTTCAGACCAACAGGGATGGAGGGGGATGGGGGGGCTACTATTAGATTTACCCTTTCGCACGCGAGGGTAACGAGTTTACGAGCGAGAGGGACCGAGCCTAGGATAGCCGGTTTATCTCCTTCGCTCCGTCTATTATCCGGCTTCGGGAGGAAAAAGTTCGTAATCTCGGGGAGATCAATCGTCCTCCTCGCGTACGCGACCCTCGAGCTTTTATTTCCACGGAGGGCATGGATTTTCATACCCCGGAAATTCTATTGCCTCCCCTTTTTGGCTACACCCTCCCTCTATATTTGCCCATCGCTTGCGTTTCTCCAATTTTTTTTTTTTTTTTCAATTCATAGGGGTTTTTTACACCGTTGGTTTTTCACCCAAACATTTTTCAGTGCTATTTGGGCGTTTATTGAAGTGCACCGCGGGTGTTTGCTTTGATTATAGTTTACGCACACGAGGAATTGGTTTGTGCACCGATGCTGTAACTTCGGTTGCATGCAGCTTTTGATAAAAAATTTTCGAACCGAATTTCCATGCACGGAAAACCTTACGGATGTAACGGAAGAATTTCAAACACCTCTGGGCTATTTAATTTGAAAAAAAGGGGGGGTGTACGATATTCGGAGGAGCGTTCGAAATACCGAGGGCTCACGAATCGTTGAAACGTTATCAAAATCCAAATAGTTGGGCGGAAATATCGGAAAGAATTTCGTTGGTAATGAACGGATGGTCCGGATTCCTAGCGCGCACCACATGATTCTCGCCCCGAAACTTATTCCATCCAGAGTCATATCTACACATGCGGGAAAATTATTCGAAAATCTGTTACACGTACGTAGTTATCCGATAAAATGTATCGCAGGAAGCGACTCTTGTCGATTAATATCGCGCGCGTATGTAGGTCAAGCTCTGCTAACGAGCGAAAAAAAAAAAAAAAGTCCAGTTTTAAAATTCCTAAAGTGTATACGTACGACACTCGTTGCGAAAAAAGTTGCTCGCATACATAGCATCATCGAGTATCCGGTCGGAAGGGGGGAATCCTTTACAAACTGACCCGGAAATTCGTCGAAAGCATCCCTTTTGCGCCCAAGAGTATCCGGACTTGGCTCCTTTGCCAATGGTATCACCCCTGTCGACGCCTTTGGGAATGAAAATAAAAGTGCAAGGCAACAAAAAGCAAGCAGGACATCGGCAAACCCTTTTCCTTCCTGTTTACTTGACCACTGGCAGAGAGTGTACTCGTCGCAGGGGAGCTTCGGTGCGACCCCCCAGGAACCACCGCAAGATCCGGTTCTCCCTCTCGTGGACCGAAAATCTCATCGGCCTCCCTCCCCTCCCGTCACCACCGCGTTATTCTCCTTCTGTTTGGAAAAAAAGTCGAAACGAGAGAGAAAGAGAGAAAGGAAGATGGACCCAAGGGGTGGAGCGAATCGTCTCCTCGGACTCGCGTCGATCCCCGAGGCCTCAGTCGCCAAACGCCCGTCCAATATCGCAGTGATCTTTTAGCTCCAGAGCCTACCATCAGTGCCAACGATAAGGGTGGTGTTGCGCGAAATACATAACAACTCTCTGCCCGTGTGTGCATGTGTGTGTGACACCCGCGAGGTGCTCGGCTGGAAAAACAAAGCCAGCACAACCCACGATTCCAAAGCAACTCCTCCCTCCGCGTCGGGCAGGGTAATTGCCGGAGATCATTTTGCTAATTAACTCGGTCCAGCGCGAGTGGGTACCCACGCGCGTGTAATTATCGGCGCTCGAAATCGCCACCCCGTCCCTCCTTTTTTTTTTTTGTCCATTAAAGGAAAAAAAAAAAAAAAAACATTTCCCTCCTTTTTGTTACATCCGCGCCCTCGTTCAACTTTTCCCCGTCACTTTTAGCCACGTGCTCTTTTTTTTTTTTTTTATTTCGCAGCCGGTGCGAGTTGTTCTTTTAACCCTACGCCTCCACTTGTACGGCCCGCGCGAACCGCAAAGTTTTAACGAACGCGGCGAAGGGAACTCCCTCCTGTAGGTCCGCGCGCGGCGGAAATTTCCGCGGTATCGCTCGTAAAAACAGCCCGGTTACAGCGTTAATTACTCTCCATTCGGCCGTGGTGAACCCAGAGTGGGGTTTTTCCTTTTTTTTTTTTTTTTTTTTTTACTCCGTCTCGCCAACTTTTTTCGCTCCGTCGCTGTCGTCGCGCCTATTTTCCCTCGCGGTCGCATCACCCCCGCCTGCTTAGTTATCTCTGATTGTCTGTGTTTTTGCGTGAGTACGTGCGTGCGTGTATGATCGAGGAGTCAAAGTAAGTAGCCGGTCGGGGGTCAAAGCTTCCGTGTTCCACGAGTCTCGAGCTATCTCCGTGTACTCGACGCGAGTGTGACATGGACGGATATAACGAGGCCTGGTATTACCAGCAGCACCAGCATTACCACAACCACCAGCAGCAACAGCAGTATCATCACCATCATCATGAGCAGCAACGTGGCCATCATCATCAGAATCACCATTACTCCCAGTATTATACGCCGGATTATCTTTATCGATTCTCCCTACAGGTAATAATGTTATTACTACTTTCCCTTGGCTCGTACGCGGGTTTACGCTTATTTCCTACAAATTTTCCGTGTTTATACACGTCTACACTACCTACAGATTTAATTTTACGTTTCGATGGCCGGGATTACAAAGAGCCCATCGACCCGTGGACGTAAGGTGCAGCGCTCGATATACGTCAATGAATCGACAGAGTAAAAATCCATTCAAATGAAACTCTCCCTCTGGCTTGGGGGGGAAAAAAAACGAATCGCCTCACGTACAAGGAAGCGTCGATCGGAGCCCAAAGTTCAGCTCGCGTCTACACCTATACACTGCATTTGTATACCTCGACAGCTGTACCTAGTGTTAAACTTTACGTACTGCAGGGCAAAAAAAAAAAAATGAATGAAACGAGCAACGTGTACAGAGCAATGGAGCGCGAGCTTTTGGCCATACACTCCCATTGTCGGAAAATCGTCCGACGGAAGAGAGGAAGGGAGCGGGGAGAAACTCTCGGCGTGAAAAACAAAAGTCGGAGGCGAGCTCATTACGACCAACGTATTGGAAATAACGGGGATGGGAGAGTTATATACATGTACACGTTGGGCAATCGTTGTATTGTCGTACCGGTAATTACACCGCGTCATATAGTAATGGCCCGATAAAGAGGAAGGGAGGAAAATACATTTCGCAGTCGCGCACAGTTATGTGTACGTACATACAAGTGTGGCGGGTTGGAGGGGGTGGGGGGATGATGATGAAAAGCCGGGGAAGCAAACAACAACGCGCGGGCTAAACAGCAATAGTAATTCGTTCATCGACAAAGGCTTTTCCGCGGGACAATGAGGAGGTTATCCCCCCCCTTCCAATCCTGCCTCTCTTCTTGTTTTCATCCTCCGATCTCTGTGTCTGTATATATACATGGGGAGAGGGTGGGAGGTTGTGCAGCCATTTGTGAGTGCACCTCCAAGTCACAAGCCGCTTTATTTATATCGAGCGCCGAATGGACTCGGCTCACTGACAACAATCGCCCCGACGACTAGCGTACCCCGCTCTCCCCTATACTCGACACAATGCTGTACTCTCTATTTTCTCCCGCGATAGCTGAGTTTCAGCTCCACTGCTATGTACGTGAGTGCAGAGGAACGGGGGGAGGAAGTGCGGAATCCGCCGATGACATTAGTTTACCTTTGTTGGCCTTTTAATAGCATCGCGGCCATTCTACGCTCTCTTTTTATTCCCATCTCGTTGTGCCCTGAGTAAACCTCTCTCCCTCTTTCCGCTTGTATTTGTGCACGTACGTCAAGGAAGCCGGAGATGCTGCTCCTCTTTCTTTCTTCCTTTTCCTTTCGTCCAATTTTCTTGGCTCTCTATTGATGTCTTTTACGACGGATTTGAAAGCACCGGCGTTCTTTGCGAACAATTAGTTAAGGTTCGTACGGAGTCATTCTCGTCATCTTTTTGTCTTCTTTAATTTATTAAATATTTTACGTTTTTTCCTTCCCTCAAGTACCAACTGTTATTTAATTTATTGTACTAAAGTTTGCCATTTGAGTCCATTTTGATGAATACTTGGGTCGAATGGTATCAAAATAATCCTTGCATTCGTCACAACTATGGCTATTACTGTTTGAGCGTAGTACAAAAGGGAGTTTTTTTTTAACGCGCCAAAGTACACCTTTTCCACTAAAAATGGCACGTATGTTAAGGCCACTGGACTTGTAATTGCGGTGGCAAGAAATAGACATCCCTCAATTGAAATTGAGGACCCCTTCACGGGTACAGCAAAACCGAGCTGGACCCCTTCGACCATTAAAACTGCGAGTTTCAATTTAACGCGTCACTTTCAAATTTAATAACGCCATCTTCAAAACCTACACGTACACGTATATCCTGTATCAACGAAAACCACCGAAGCACACTCGCACGCGTGGATACAAACAAACCATCTTCCTTTACCACCTCATTTTCACCCTCAACATATATGTGTACAATATCATGTGGTCCAAAAGATACATATACACACACGCTTTGCCAAGGATATAATACAGTATATTTACAGAGTATAAGGGCCGGCAGTGCACGTTTAAGGTAAAAGCGCGGAGCTTCTGCGGCAGGCGTAGCGCTCCCCCCCCCCCTCTCCCACTTTGCGTCAAGTAATTAGACACGTCCTCGACTTTACACGGCTGCTGGACGCGAAACTCTGCACTTTGTGCACGTACGTTCCAGCCACTGCGTATTATAAGGAGAGGCGGGTGTAGGTGACGTGCCTCCGGCCGACCGAGTACGTGCGAGTGTACTCCCCAGGTGTGGCTCCCCCCAGTAGAATATATATATGTGTAACTTGCGGACTTTGGTCGGAGTCGTCGCTCATGGGTCCGGAAAACGCCTAGTCGGCAGCAGACGTGCCTAGCTTCGCGGATCGTCGGATTGTTTTTTTTTTTTTTTTTTTCTTCTTTTCTATCTCTCCTCACTGCCAACTGTTGGTGCCAAGTTGGGGGAAAAAAAAAATGGGTAAAAATACCATCCCGACGTAATAATCATCCCGCAGCGTCGCCTACGCGCGAGGATTACCGTGTACACGCCCGAAAAGATGAAACGCGGGCGCGCTTCCAGAGCCCGAGGGGCGAGCCTGACACCCCTTGCTTTCAACCCTAGTGAGAATCCCTCCCCCTATCCGCTCTCCATCGCCCCAAAATAACACCTTTGGACTGTATATATGTTCGAGGGAGCTCCACGAGGCGCGAGATGTCTTCGTTTGCTCCCCCCCGACGACACGGGCGTTCATGTTCGCGTAACTGGCAGGTACATAATTACCGACAGGCAAACTCTCCTGCTTCTCTCCCCATCGTAAACTTTGTCCGTACCCCGTGTCGCTTTTGTACATATATGCGCGATTGTCGCTTATTTTGTGTATAACAAAAGTTGCTCTGTTTGTTTTTTGATAAATCTGTACGCTGGTGTTGAAGTCTCATGTCTTTGATGAAGTTGCTTTAACCGTGTGGGGTTTTTCCTTTTTTTGTCCAATAACCTGAATCAACCCCAATACATGTGTATCCCACATAAACGTCCGACGATATTCATAAAAATTTCCGAGTTGTAATCCCCCCCTCCCTCCTCTCTTATACTTACCCAAGGATCACGCTAATTTGTGTCCCTGGCGCGAGCTGTAAGGGTATACATATTCGCCGCGATCCTAAATTCCTCGCGTTCTCCGGTACATCAGTATACAGCTACAGGTTATATGTATGTATACAATAACCCATCCGGCGCGCTCTTATACGAGAATACCCCGTACCTACCTATGTATAGATAATACCTACCTCGCTCTCTTGCCGCGCGTCTCGAGGAATTTGTTATAAGCGTTTTCCTCCCCCGCTCCCTCCGCCGTTCGGCTCCCTTGGTAACTCATTAAACGGGATCTTGATTAATTATCGGGGGGGGGGGGGGCGCTTTTCCCCGATGATAGTGACCATCGCTGCGGAACAAGTGCACAACGTGTAAATATAATATACCTACCAATGAAAGAGCGAATTGGAGAACACGTCCGCGATCATATACTTTGGTTTTCGTATCGTTGTCGGTGTAGGTTTTCATCGTTTCCGTCTGATGTGCCTTTCCCAAAACCATCGGATACTTTGATACGGACGAGGGGCGAAAGGAAACTCAAGTACAAAAGCACTTTTGACGAGCGGTGGATACACATTTTAGATTATATGGGGGTATATTTCTTGGTGTACACTTAAAAATCAATCGCCTCGTCAACTCCAACATGAAACACAAACTAACCCATATATACTTGGAGTCAAAAATGGGGGGAAAAAGAAGACAAAAAAAAAAAAAATATATATATTCTTGCATAGCCCTCTGTTTAGCATACACAGTCCTCCCGGACCCACGCTTCTTCTTCCTCCCCCTCGTACTTTCAGCCATAGCATCCGTAGTCAAATCCTCCGACGACTCAATAAACGCGTAAGCGGAGTATAGCCTACCTGTCCCGCACGACACGCTGGGGAACACGTTATACGGTCCATGCAGGGGGACTCTTGTAATCCAATGCACCCGTGCAAGAAACATCAGGGCCGGAAGGGGGGGGGGTGAACGAGTTGGCTCTATCGCTGTCCTGGGAGTCCTTAAAACGCACCCCCCCTCCCCTGAAAGCTGCAGCGGGCCTTCGATAAAGCTCCACGCGCCCTGGCAATTGTAAACTGTGAATTAAGCCGATGTGTATATACACGCGCCTCGCGGGGGGTGGACACTGGGGGAGGGGAAAAAAAAAAAAAAGAAAAGAAAAAATGGTAGAGACTCGATTTCACGCGTACCGAGTTTGGTGCGTGGTAAGGGAAAATCGAATCGTCACGCCGGGCTGGCTCCTTCGGAGATCGGTCGTCCGTATCGAGACTATACGGGGTTTTTAATCCAAAGGTCCGTTCCGATGACTTTCACGATATATATATCTCTCTCTCTCTAAAAATTGTTTACCTCCTGCCGGCTCCCCTCTGTACGAATAACAGTTACGGTTGACAATCAACGGACAGGTCGCCCAAAAAAACTTGTCAACTTCGAACCGAGCGCAAAGAGAAGAGAAAAATCCTTCTCTGGTGAGTTTGGGAAACAAGTCACTTTTGTCCCCTTGTTTCAGCCCAACTCGGAGATGCTTTTGTTTTGGCTATATGTACAAAAAGACCCTGTAGCGCGTCTTACGTTCCTCGATTTTTACGAGCATCCGTACCGTCTATACGTACATCCTGCCAGTTGGTCCTTCCTCCTTCCCGAGAACGGGGCAAGCACCGTATCCGTAAAATAAACACAGAGGGGGAGGGGGGTGGGACGTAAGGCTGGTCGCTTTCCTCGCAGCTCGTTACGGAGCCTCGTAGAGCTCGTATATACACACAGCCAGCGACTCGAAGAAGCTCC